TTTTTTTTTTTTTTTCTGCTGAGTAGTACTCCATTGTGTAAATGTACCACATTTTCTCCACCCATTCTTCGGTTGAGGGGCATCTAGTGTGCTTCCAGTTTCTGGCTATTACAGATAGTCAAAGGGGCCATATTTAATCTGGTTTTCTGCTTTTAATCTCCGTTTTCTGCTTTTCATTATTATTCATTTTTTTTTTTTTTTTTGGATTAGCTACTGAGGAGGGATGGCTGAACCTACTTTGTTAGGGCTTCCAGAGCATGGGCTCTGACGGTAACAAGTCAAGTAACCATACAGCCGTAGCTAATATTCCAAATCTCAACTATGAATACTTCCATGATTAGTATCTTGGAGCATGTTCTAGATTGGTTAGAAGTAATCTACCTGTTCCCAGAATATCGAGGTAGCACAATTCTGAGATTAGAAGACAGTGATGCTTTCATCACACAATTCAGACTCATTTCCCAGTCTTTCGGGTACTCGAGGATGCTGTTGTAAGAGCTACACAACTGTGGCGAGAGATAAAAAATAAACAAACAAACAAACAAAACAAAACAAACAAACAAAAAACACTAGCAACTGAGGGGCAACTGAAGAATGTACCTGTTGGGGAAATGTCTTCTGGAACCTGAAGGTGCGGCTGTGTCACCCCCTTGCGGTCAGCCCAGCTCCCTATGACTTTGGGAAGCAGGCCGGGTTCAGCCTCTCTGAGCGCCGGGCAGCGCGCATGCGTACAGGCTGCGGGGGGCCAGGTCCACGGAGATATTTGTTCCGGGGGGAAGAGTTTTCCCGGAGGCACTAATTCCTTCTTTTTCCGGCAAGCTCGGCCCGGAAGCGCAGTGTCGGGGCTGCGGACTTACCGGCTCCTTGTCCTTCCCCGGTGGCAGTCGGGGCGTGGTCGCTGCGGGCCGGGCTCACGCGTGCCAGCGATGGAGGGGCAGCGGGTGGAGGTGGACGGCGGGATCATGGAAGGGGTGAGTGCCGGGCTGAGCGGGGCCGGGGCGAGGCGGGGCGTGGCGTGGCGGTGGGGCCTCCATTCAACGTCTCTCGTTTCTTCTCCCCGGTGCTCTGCAGGGCGGCCAGATCCTCAGGGTCTCCACCGCCCTGAGCTGCCTCCTGGGCCTCCCCTTGCGCGTGCAGAAGATCCGCGCTGGCCGCAGCACGCCGGGCCTCAGGTACCGAGGGCGGGCGGGGAGCCGGACCTGGCAGAGTCTAGGTCGGCGGGCTGGGAGGCCCGGGGGCAGGGCGCGGGGTGTGGCACCCCGGCAGTGTCCAGAGTGCAGCCCTTGCCCTCTTTTTCTGTCCCTAAGACAGGCTGCGGGTTGTCCTTGGGACGCATCGAAACAGGGTAGTTTGTCCACTGGTGTCTCCTTGTAGGATCTCATTCTTATTGCAAGTTCTCAGGCCCAGGGTAATCCCGAACTCCCTAGATGGGGAGAATTACCTTGAACTTTTCATTCTCCTGCCTTCACCTCTCAAATGCTAGAATTACAACTGTGTGCCACCATGCCCAGTTCACGTGGTTCTGGGGACCAAACCTAAGACCTCCTCCATACTATGCAAGCACTGTAGGCACTGATCAACACCCCTATGCCGTCAATCAATCTCTTTATAAGAATAGCTGTCAAATTGTTAGCACACCTAACAATTTGAAGATACCACACCCTCGTAGCCTCCCTTTAAGTTAAAGGGTCGTACTTAAATGATCATATTTTTGTGGGTTGCCGCCTCAACATAGAAATTTAGGGGATAATACATAATTCAGGCCATACAGGTGTCATGAGTTGGTTATTCAGTGGAATGCAAACAAGGGCGGTGGCTCGAGGTGGTTTTCTTTTTCCTTTTTTTGCACGCTTGGGATTTGTAACAGTTCATCAGTGTGTGTTTGTAGCCTAAATAACCAATCTTGGAACCTTTAAGTTGCCCATAAACAGTGAGTCCAAGTGCATTAAAAACTCCAATTGGAGCTCTGCCATTGAAGATACCACACTTGCTTTCTGGCCATGGCTTTTGTAACTGTGCCATAGAGTGGGGTATAGGCAGTCTGATCACACACGTCTTGATGCAGTATTATGACCTGAAGGCCTCAGCATTTATCTGGACTGGAAATGGTTCGAGATTTGTGTGATGGGCACCTGGAGGGGGCAGAAATCGGCTCAACAGAGATAACCTTCATACCAGAGAAGATCAGAGGTGGAATCCACACTGCAGATACGAAGACAGCAGGGTATGTCTCCCCTAATACTCCATCCAGGCTTCTCAGATGTCAGTCCTTTTGCTTCCTGGGGATGCTCTTTAACCCTTTCGATATTCAGTTTTCTCTCCTTTAAAATATAAATAATAGACCTTTCAAGGTTCAAGACAAGGGATGTGAACCTTTGGGTGCCTGCTTGTTGAGCTGTAGCATTTATTTATTTATTGAGACAGGGTTTCTCTGTGTGGCCCTGGCTGCCCTGCAACTCACTCTGGCCTCAAACTCAGAGGTCTACCTGCCTCTGCCTCCTGATATTGGGATTAAAGGCATTTGTCACTGCACCTGGCAGTTGTAGCAATTATTATTTTTCTTTCTTTCTTTCTTTCTTTCTTTCTTTCTTTCTTTCTTTTTTTTGAGACCAGGTCTCCTATATCTTCCACACTGATGTTGAATTCATGATTCTCCTGTTCCACCATCCCAGGTGCTGAGCACTGTACAGATGGTTTCCCCTTATTGTCTTAATAAACATATGTTTGACTCTAAGAAGTTTTGGAGGCTTGCCTTGCATGTCCAAGATCCTGGGTTGAATCTCTAGCACTGCAGGAGGGACAAAGTGCTCAAGCCTAGAAATTGTAGATATCCTGATTACTCCTGTTCCCCTTGGGAAGTGGAGCTGGGGGCCTGGCTCAGTGCTGGAGTGTAGATTAGCATGTAGAAGTACTTGGGTTCAATTCCCACTACCAGAAAGCAAACAAAACAAGAATAACGAAACCCCCCAGCGAAAACCACCCAGCCTTTTGGGAAATGGTTATCTTAACAAATTTCTAAGTATCCCTCATGTCATCCCCCAATAACAGCAGAATGACCATAACAGAATGTGGAGAGGAACCAGTATTTATATTGCTTCTGTGAGCTATTTGGCTGATTGCATCCATCTTTTGCCCCTGGTACTGGAGCACTAACCCATTGGCTCAAGCAGGCTGGGCATGTGCTCCACCACTGAAATTCATCCCCAGCCCTGATAGCATTTTCAAGTAGCTTTTTCTTTTAACTGTAATGTGCTGTTATTAAGAATTTGACTAAGTAAGACATGAAAATTATAAACCTCTTGTCAGTTCAGAAGTAACTTTTCAAATGAATTATGACTATTTTAGGAAGATGTTTAGTAACAAGTGAGATCTGAGCTATGGTATTAGTAGACTTCAGTGCAGAGGGGCCTGTGATTGGGCCTCTTCACAGTTCTCATCTGTGAAGAGAGAACTAAGGTAAGGAAAGAATTTCAGGTATATTATCATTAGCCCATTATTTACTATTCTGTACAAACAAGGAGGAAAAAGTCATAGTTATCTTCCTAAAAATGAACTAAAGCAGTCATAGAATTTGAAGCTGTAAGAGAAAGCATTTATTCCAAACCTTCCATGTTGTGTGATAACAAAATATCATATAACGCTTCCATGTTGTGAATAAGGGAGTCAAACCCCCCTGGTGTTAAGTGATTTGCCCACAGTCTTGGAGTTAGGGTAAGAACTGGCATTAGAATTTAAGCCTTTTGTCTCCTAATTATTTTTTTTAAAGATTTTATTTATTTATTTATTATGCATACAGCATTCTGTTTCCATGTGTATCTGCACACCAGAAGAGGGCACCAGATCTCATAAGGGATGGTTGTGAGGCACCATGTGGTTGCTGGGAATTGAACTCAGGACCTCTGGAAGAGCAGTCGGTGTTCTTAACCTCTGAGCCATTTCTCCAGCCTAAAACTGCAATTTTTTTTGTTGTTGTTTTTGTTTTTGTTTTTTGTTTTTCGAGACAGGGTTTCCCTGTGGCTTTGGAGGCTGTCCTGGAACTAGCTCTTGTAGACCAGGCTGGTCTCGAACTCACAGAGATCTGCCTGCCTCTACATCCCGAGTGCAGGGATTAAAGGTGTGTGCCACCACCGCCCTGCCTCCTAATTTTTAAAAGTTACATTTATTTGTGTGTGTGTGTGTGTGTGTGTGTGTGTGTGCGCGCGCATGTGCATAAACACTGCGGAGTGTGTGGAGGTCAGAGGACAGCCTGTGGGAATCATCCGCCCTGCCTCCTAAATTTTAAAAGTTACATTTATTTGTGTGTGTGTGTGTGTGTGTGTGTGTATAAACACTGCGGAGTGTGTGGAGGTCAGAGGACAGCCTGTGGGAATCATTTCTGTTCCTCTACCATCTTGGTCACAGGAATTGAACTCAGTTCATTAGCTTGTGGCACGTGCCTTTCCTGGCTAAGGAATTGAACTCAGGTCATCAGGCTTGTGGCACGTGCCTTTCCTGGCTAAGGCATTAGTTTGAAGTTGATAGTCCACTTCTACATAGGAGAGAAGTAGAGTCCTAGCAGGAAAGCCCATTTTACTTTTTATCACACTTACTGCATTTTATCCCTAGTTGTGATTGCAGTACTGAGAGTTTTGTCCTGTGTCTGGTTTTGTGGTTCCTTACTCTTCTAAAAGTGAGGTATTCAAACTCTAATTTTATCTAGGAGAACATAAGCACTTTAAATGTTGGATTGCTTAGAAGAGACTGAATACTGGTTTGTAAGTAAGCTAAACATCTCTTCTGTTTGCTCCTAGACTCCATTTCTTAGGGGAATATATTACATTGCCTGTATTTTCTTTTCCAATACTACATTTATTAATTAGCCAATGAATATTTAGAGAATTGATGAAATTGCCTATCAGTAATAGAGACTTTAAAATGTCCTTTAGAGTAAAAGATTCATTAGAAGTTATTTACACTGGGGACAGACGGACAACAAGAGTCTTTTTGAGAAGCAGTCAGGGTCCAGAAATAGAGACTTTGTAGTTTAGTGTACTTGTATCTTTGTTGTATAATGTAAAAGAATTTCTTTTGTTTATAGATGCTATATCTAATTCCCTTTAAAACTGTGACTTACTTAGGAATGTGATCGTTTTCATTTTGAAGAAGGGCAGTAACCATTCATTTAAACAATCTGACCAAATACTTCATTTTTAAAAACACTTTATATTCTGTGACTAATTTTTTTGTGATTCTTCATGTTGACTATAATGAGAAACTCCATGTGAAACATCCAGTTTCCAGTCTTTGTAAAAGGCTACCCTGTCCTATGAACTCTGATGGTAGGAACACGCTGTGACTTAATATTTGAGCAGTGTCTTGTGCCTGGTAACATCCCAGGTATAAGCAGTTGAATATTTCTAGTCTTGGCTATTCTGAATGCATTTTCATAAACTGCTTTCAAGAATACTTTTAGAAAAAGATTTGAAGCTTTTATTCTTTATTTGTTTACTTATTAATAACAATGATACTATGAAGTATCAGAACTTAGCCAGAGTCACATAGATAATGTGTTTATCCTTCAATCCAAACTTAGATTTGCATTTTTATTTACTTACATTATTTATTTTGGTTTTTCGAGACAAGGTTGTTCTATGTAGCTCTGGCACTAGCTATGTAGACCAGGCTGGCCTCAAACTTACAGAGCTCCTCCTGCCTCTGCCTCCCAAGTACTAGGATTAAAGGTGCGCACCATCACTGCCCAGCTACATTTTTATTTTTAATTTATTATTTTTTGGTGGTGCTGGGTACTCAACCAAGGCCTCACAGATGAGAGGCTCAAACCTTTTCCTATTGATTTATCCAGTTTACTTATCGTCTTTCTACTTTACAATATTTCCTTAAGATTCAGGATTTGACCCTTCAGACACTGTAGTGTTCTGACTTCTCCATTGTCTGGGCTACAAGTCACTGTGGTGCAGTAACGAATATAGCTGTTCTGAGACTCAAAAGATAGTACAGTTATGCGTGTTCTGCCTTTCCCTTAGGAGTGTGTGCCTCTTGATGCAGGTTTCAATGCCTTGTGTTCTGTTTGCTGCTTCTCCATCGGAGCTTCGCTTGAAAGGTGGAACTAATGCTGAAATGGCACCGCAGATTGATTACACCATGATGGTAAGGGGCACATCTTTAAATATGGCTGGAATATTTTCGTGGACATTCCTGTTGAGGCATGTTTTTTTTGGTTCTGTTTCAGGAGAGGGAACAGATTAAGGTTTACTTTAGGGTTTGCGTTATTAGGATAGTGTTCAGACTGAGTTTTTTAAGGACCTGAAAGTATAATTATATAAATCATATCAGTTGTTGCTGGGCGGTGGTGGCACATGCCTTTAATCCCAGCACTTGGGAGGCAGAGGCAGGCGGATCTCTGTGAGTTCGAGACCAGCCTGGTCTACAGGAGCTAGTTCCAGAACAGCCTCAACATACATACATACATACATACATCAAAACAAACATACAAACATGCATACATACATACATACATACATACATACATACATACATACAAAATCAGTTGTTATATAAATCACCTATTTTTACTTTAGTATTGACGTGGTACAGGTTGAATGTACCACTGAAATATTAAGTGAACCAGAATTTGAACCAGTGAGATGGCTCACTGGGTAAAAGCACTGAACTGACCTCAGTTCAGCCCCCAGAACACACAGCAGAAGGCCAGAGCTGACCACCACACCAGTGCAGGAGCACATATACCCTTCCTTCGAGGAACACAAGTGGAGCATTTCCCACCTGACTTCATGTGATGAGCTATGATAACAACCCAGGTACAGGTGGCATTCATTGAGTCAAGTTCTGTGTATAACGAGTATGAAACATGAGTGAATTTTGTGTTTGCATCCCATCGTTGTGTATGTGCAAATACTACAAAATCTGAGAAAGTCAGAAGCTCAAAGCACTTGTGGGTCTGAGATTTTCAGGTAAGGACATTCAGTCTGTACTAATTGTGGCATAATTTGTAGCATGAATAATAAAAACAGAGAGACAGATACTGGGGTTCAGTCTGAATATCAGAAAAGCAAAGCAACCAACCACTAGAGAGTTCTTACCTCAGAGTGACTGCAGACAGAATACTCTCTAGTGCTGGGATTAAAGGCATGCACCACCACCACCCAGTCTCTTTTTTTGTTTTTCGAGACAGGGTTTCTCTGTGTAGAGCCTGTCCTGGAACTTACTCTGTAGCCCAGGCTGGCCTTGAACTCACAGAGATCCACCTGCCTCTGCCTCCTGAGTG